TTGGAAGCCTTGTTTTCACATAGCATTGTCTAAATACAAAAATGTTTTGTTAACTTCAGGTAAGTAAATCTTGCTATCGGATCCTTATTATTATTTTCTTTTAGTGTTTTAAGCGCTTATCCTAGTGCTTGTTGCAGGTTTTATTTGATGTAAATATCTCTTCCGTTCCGCTATTTATCGACAATGAGGTATGTTTCAACCTCGTTTAAGTTGTCCCTGGCTTGATTAACCAACATATTCTTTCTTTATTAAACAACATCTTGTATGATCCGGCTAATACCTTACATATTTTTTTTTATGATTCTGCAGTTGTACATTTAGGGAAGCAGCTTTTAGTTTTCAGGGTGGTTGTCGAGAAGAAAATGGCAACGTGTAGATTCAGGGGGTTTTGAGAGAGTTGTTTATAGCTTTTGGCATATTGATTTGATCTTGTGTTCCATTATTTCAAGTCTCCCGTATATTCTGGTGGATGGCTGTATTTGAAAATTTTGTGCAGTTGATGAAGTGGGGAAGTAAAAAAAAAAAGGAAAAGTGAACTTTTCTTCGGCTCTATAATGGGTTATGAGGAAAAATACAAAATTTGACTGGAATAAATTCATTGGCCAGGAATTGCTCTGTTATAGATTTCAGCTCTTTTACCGTCATTGGTATGATTTGGCTGCTGTTTTTTTTTAATTTTTTTTATTAAGAAGGTAGCAGCTACCTTCTGCTTGACTTCCTCAATGGTAAATCGTCATCTTAGTTTTTCTTTTTCTTGGTACCATCAAAAGACCGCAAGTGGCTCAAACATAAGCACTATATCTATCTACCCCAATATACTGAACAAATGAAGGTTCTAAACAGAGTCATGCAATTTTGTCCATCTACTTTTTTTTTTTTTTTTTTTTTTTTCATTTTTGTCTTAGCTCTAATTGTTTATTGTTTGTTTAAGTATGATTGATTCAAGGGGTATTAGACTCCGTTTCTTGCATGAAAATATTTTTGTACTTCTCTTTATATATGTATATGTATATGTATATGTATGTTTTGGAAAATATTTTGTTTTTATATATATATATCTCCGTGTCATCACCCGTGATATTATAATATTTCATCATTATTTTGTTATATATTGTTCTCTGGATTCTCTTATATATGATGAAATGATGAAGTATTTTTAAAAAAAATAAATTCATATATTCTATTAATTGAATACATCAATAAGACCATATGGGAATGCACGCAGAGACGATAAAAATGACGTTTGGATCATTTGGTAATAGATACATATATATATGTATATATATAGGCATATGTACATATATTATAATGTGTTTATTATTGGCACGTGGATGATCATTAAATTTATTTTTGTAACACTGATTTTTCAAGTAATAAGAATTTGTGTACATTATATGGTTCAAAAAGAGGCAGCAGAAGTCTGATTGTTCCTTCACATTTCATTTTTCCTCGAACTAATCATTTTGTATATGTGTGTGCCAACTTACCAGCAACGATCCTCCATATTTGTTGAAAAAGGGGAATATATAAATTAAATAAATGTTGGATAATTAACTAACTTTGTAAAAAATAATTATTTTATGATTTTGGTTTATTTTGTATACGTAATAATAAACTAAAAATATGTGAAAAATCAAGCAAGAAACAGAAATGTTTTCATCTTCATCTTATTATTGCGGAACCCAACACCTCTCACCTGGTGCGCACGCACAAACTCATCTTTTTTCTAGCTCTAAACATAAACGACACCGTTTGTAACTATATACATCATTACGCATGCGGAACCCTTTTCAGATGCTGTTAACCACTTTTGTGTTTCTCGGACGCCATCTTCTGTGGACTCTATTTTCACATCTGACAACACGTTTTCATTTGCAATTCTTTTTAACAAAATAAATGACTTAAAAAGACAAACTATAAAATATTTTGCAAAATGTAATTTTTGCATCAACTACATAAATATATATATATATATACATACATGCACATATGTATTTTACCAAAGAATACGTATACATGGTTGTATTACTGTAGTTTGTGTGTACATGCCGACGGTAGCGGCATAGTTATTGGAATATATCTTTTATCCCCAAAAAGCAAGACTTGGATTACAATTACTTTCACACGACTCCGTCAACCAAATATCTAATTTAAAATTTCCTTGCAATTTTGGCTTTTGACTTCATTTTTTTTTATAAAAAAAAAAAAAAGGATTGTCCACTAAACATATATATATATATATATATACTATTCTGCTCAAATGGGTTTTTTGTATTTTTTTTAACAAATTATTTTCTTCTAAGCTTAAATGATAAACCAAATCTAATGGGTGTTTTAGTTTATTGACCCAGCTGGATCTATACATATGTATGTACGTATTTATCGTTCCTGGTTGGTCAACATGTAATGAAATTTCATATTTTCATTCAGAAAATTTTAATATATACATACCAAAGATATCACTCTTCACCATCTTTTATTTTTTTTTTCTTTTCTTTTCTTTTCTTGCATACTAGGTCACCTCAGTATATTATAAAGTCTTCATCAGTTCCCTGTTCCTTGTTTCTCTATTTTGGTTTATTTCTCCTGTCAAAGAAATTCTTTGGTATGTTCGTGATTTCATTTTTAATGGTTAATTAATCAGCAATTATCTGTATTAGCAGTCGTTTTAAAGCTACCTAATCAATCAGATAATGTGCAGTAAGCTTTTTGAAAAACTTGGCAGGACGTACGTGACCTGCAACTGCAATCATCTTCTTACACAGAGTTTGGGTTTTCCTAAAACAGAAAAGATTTGGCCAAAGAAAAATGTAGCACAAATTATCTTTTTAATAATAATAATTAAAAAAATATATATATATATGTATTTCAGTTATTAACCTATTATGATTACCCAAATTAAGAAAATGTAAATAATTTTTTGAGTCAGAATTAGAATTATCTAATTAAGCATTACAAATTGGTGTCTTATATTTTCAATAAATTTTAAATTTGTAACTTTCAAGTTTTGAGTATTTAAGATATTAATTACCAGAAAATTCTACTGGTGGGTACGTTATATCATTTTAATAATATGAGAACTGCCCAAAAAACTTGCTGCTATTATTTTATTTTTTATTTTTAAAGTCAATGCTAAAGCAAATTTCAAATTTCTGCAATATCTAAGAATAAATTAAAATATTTGGTAATGCAACGTAGGAAAATTGTATAAGAAGGAAGAAATTAAGGAGATTTTTTTTTTTTTTTTTAAAAAAAATCTTGTCAAAGTCTTGTAAATCCAAATACCATGTGTCCACTAGTAGTTTCTTTTCTCATTATATCCAAATAAAATTGAAACCCAATTAAGAGCCTATATAAACCCATCTTCAACAAGTCTGGAACAAAATTAAAACTTTAATAATGTCTGTCAAAAAGTTTTTATGGAAAACTTTGATTCCCGCCTGTGGGAGGGCCACAAAAACACCATCTTCATCTCATCAAAAGCAAATATCTCCGCAAAGGCTATCTTTATCAGATGTTAGCTTTCCTGGTTCTCCAATTTTTCTCAGTGTTTTATCAAACTCCTTTGGTCTCAACCTTCATATTTTCACTCTCAAGGACCTTCAAATCATTACCCAGAACTTCTCCAGGAGTAATTATATTGGCGAAGGCGGGTTCGGAGAGGTCTACAAAGGGTTCATTCATGATAATTTCAAGCGTGGGTTGAAGGCTCAATCTGTTGCTGTTAAGGCATTGAATTTGGATGGTACACAAGGTCATAGGGAATGGCTGGTATCTATCATTCCAATACATATATGCATGTATCTTGTTTTCTCTTCCATTTATGATTATTTCTAGCTCTGTTTTGTTTTATTTTTTATTTTTTACTGGGTTTTTGTTTTTGTAGGCTGAAGTTATCTTCCTCGGACAATTAAAGCATCCTCATCTTGTGAACTTGATTGGATACTGCTGTGAAGATGAACATAGGCTTCTGGTTTATGAGTACATTGAACGAGGCAACCTGGAGAATCATTTGTTCAAAAGTAAATATGACTATCTTGTTTCATACATATACATATATGTATATATACGTATATATTATATGCATACGTAGTAATAATTATGTGGGTTAATGCAGGATATGGAGGAAGTCTGCCATGGTTAACAAGAATGAAGATTGCACTTGGAGCAGCAAAGGGCTTGAATTTTCTTCACCAAGAAGTAAAACCAGTTATTTATAGAGATTTCAAGACCTCTAACATCTTGTTAGACCTGGTAAATCTCAATCATTTGTTCACCTTGCTGTCTTTTCTCATCGAATCTTACTCACCAAATAAAAAAATTTCAGGACTTCACTGCGAAGCTCTCCGATTTCGGATTAGCAACTGACGGTCCGGAGGGGGAAGACTCCCATGTTACCACCTGTGTGATGGGCACAGAAGGCTACGCAGCTCCTGAATACATCATGACAGGTAATATAACATATGTAAACTATGTATATATCTTTAATATTTGTCATCAATGATACCCTTTTGCTTTTTTTCCATGATTCATTAATATACAAAGTCAATAAACAACACGAATAAATCTTTCATAAATGTTTAGTATATCGTTACTAACGTAAAATCTTGTAAATTCGAATAAAATCGTAAGCGTCATGTATAATAATATAATTTATTTTACAATTAATATAGATATCTTATATAATTAATAAAATGTATATATAGGTCACTTGACAACCATGAGCGATGTCTTCAGCTTCGGAGTAGTACTATTGGAGCTGCTAACGGGTCGGAGATCAGTGGACAAGAGACGTCCTTGCAGAGAAAGGAACCTAGTTGAGTGGGCAAGACCCCAATTAAAGGATCCTTATAAGCTTGACACCCTAATGGATCCTACACTTGAAGGGCAATACTCAAATGAAGGGGCTAAAAAAGCAGCTGCATTGGCATATCACTGTCTCAGCCACAACCCTAAATCCAGACCAACCATGAGCACCGTGGTCAGCACCTTAGGGTCTGTCATGGAGTTTAAGGACATCCCTGTGGGACCCTTTGTGTATATTGTCCCAACCGAAGGACAAACCACCCAAAACCAGTCTTCTGACGTGAAAAACAAAAACCCACATCGACAAGACAATGACCAGAACAAAGATAAGGTCGGGCGAGGCCGTGGCCGCCGACGGAGACGACGGGTTAAGTCATTAAGGTCTCGTGCTGTTCATTCAGATACCACTTTGTATGAAAAGCTAGGATCAAGCTTGTACTCTCCTTTGAACTAAGCTTAGCTCAGGATCATATTACTGTACATTTACAGGTTAATTTTTTTTTTTTTTTTTTTGGGTTTGTAATGATCTAATTTTGAACCTCTATAAGTGTTAGAAAGAACAAATTGTTCAAAAACAGAGAACTGTTCAATAAAATACAATTTCTTTTAATGGCTTGAATCTATTCACGCGGAGATTGAATTTGAATCTGAACACACATAATATATCACTTTCAAGTTCAAGATCCTTTTTTTTCTGTGCCGAGAAAATTAAATGGGATTTCATTTTCTTGCCCGGAAACCGGAGACATTTGCTATGGGCTGTGAAGCAGTCAAGTTCATACCTTTTGACATTGTTCAAGAAACTTCTTTTCCAAACAATGATGATTCTAAAAAGATAAAAGTCTCTGACTTTTCTAAAAATTTCTTCATGAGTATTGACTGTAAAATCAATTTTGGAACTTTTAATTGCTTAGTGCGACTCTACCCACAATTTATTATCTACGGAGGATATATATGCTGCAATGAGATTTTTTTTGTGATAAACTGGCATGATTATTCAAACACCAAACAGATCCCAAATGATTATGAGTATTTCTTTTGAAGATTAACCTGCATTTTTCAAAAACTTCCAGCAAGAAATTCGAGCAACCCACTTAAAATCCCCAGTCAGATAATCCAGCCTGTTAAAGCTCACTATTTTTAAAAAATCGCGTAGAAGATGGAGTCCAACTGGGAGACGAATGTCAAATCATCAAATCTACAATAAGAATATTATGCTATCTGAATTATATATCATGACTAATGTATGCTTTATAGATCATGTTGATAGGCTTGGAGAAATGATAATGAAATTATTTGTGACCGACAATTTTAGTATTATTTGAATAACTGAAACTTGATGTTGTAAATAGAAATAGAAAGATTTAAAAACGTGCTAAATAAATCTAAAAGATGAAGCAAACATTGGACGTAACCTCAACATAGACTAGCCAACTAAGTGGGTTAAAAGTCTCAAACAATGAAGTTAAACAGGGAGAGAAAAATTCCCAATGGAGGAAATTTTTCCACCTAACTTAAATCATCTTTTTGATATGGAATAACAAGGATGGTTCACTTCTTCCGAATTCCAGCCTATGAAACCAAACTTGCATGCAGGCAATTAGATGTGAAGAGATGAGATAAATCCCGCTTCAACATCATCTCCTTGATAGAACTGTCACTTCAATGATCATCTCAAATTTGAGAATTTTGTTTTGTTTTTGTTTTGTTTTTTTTTTTGTTTTTTGTAAAAGAAAAATTCTTTTGCTGAATAATAAGAAATAAAGAGACCAAGAATAAGAAAATATTCTGCATAAT